GAGAAAAGAAACAGGAGAGCTGACTTGGATTAGAAGGGGAGGTCAGCCATGACAGCTAAGCCTGAGGTGTGACAGGAGCAGGCCAAGGCACAAGGGGAACAGTCCTGCGGTGGAAGGGAGGAGCTGGTGCAGAAGGTGCTCTGTGGGAAATCCAGGTGGATGGAGCGACTGCACGGGCAGGGCAGGCGGGGTACGAGGTCAGAGTGGGCAGCTGGTCCAGGCGGTGCCGGCCTCCTAGGCCAGGCCGACGGGAGTTTTGGTGGGTAGGCATGTGTGTCCTTTGGCAGGGCGTGGGGCAGCGAGGGAAAGAGAAGTGTCTGCGTCTGGAGGGATGTATGTGTGACAGAGAAAATGGGAGAGTGTCTGAGAGCGAATGTAGGGGCGGGCGAGGGGAAATGTGTGTGACTGGTGGAAAGAGGGTGCGGGTGGGGGGCCCCTCTCGTTCCTCCTTCGGCCACGGGGACCCTGGAGAGCCCTGCAGTCTGGAGTTAGCTATTCATACTTTGTGAGCCCCGCTTGACATCATGACAGCGGCCACTAATCGCTGGGTGCCTTGCCCAGCCGGTGACTTTATTGGGCACCTACTGCATGCTGGGCTCCAGGCGGGGTGCAGGGGGCGGGGGCGGGCTGTGGAGTCAGGCCAGACACGGGGTGTCCCCCAGGAGCCAGGGTGGAGGGGCCCCGCGGGGTGCGTCGACCCCGCGCCTCTCGCCGCTGTTTCCTTAGCCGGGCTGGCGGGCGCAGTTACCTCACCAACAGCATGCCCACCCTGGAGCGCTTCCCCATCAGCTTCAAGACCTACTTCTCAGGGAACTACTTCCGCCACATCGTGCTGGGGGTGAACTTTGGCGGCCGCTACGGGGCGCTGGGCATGAGCCGGCGCGAGGACCTGATGTACAAGCCGCCGGCCTTCCGCACGCTCAGTGAGCTCGTGCTGGACTACGAGGCTGCCTACGGCCGCTGCTGGCACGTGCTCAAGAAGGTGAAGCTGGGCCAGTGCGTGTCCCACGACCCGCACAGCGTGGAGCAGATCGAGTGGAAGCACTCAGTGCTGGACGTGGACAGGCTGGGCCGCGAGGACTTCCGCAAGGAGCTGGAGCGCCACGCCCGAGACATGCGGCTCAAGGTCAGTGCCGGCGCCCACCCTCCGCCCGGCTGTGGGAGTGGAAGGGCCACCGCCGCTTCTCCAGGGAATGCAACCAATCCCCTCACCTCGGCCCCCACCCCAGCAGAGGTGGCGTGAGGCTCCAGGGCGTGATAGGGGTGAACCGGCTACCGTTGCTCCTTGTTGTTGACACCGGGCCGGGGAGGGCCCTGGAAGGAGGCAGCAGGTGAGCTGGCTGTGGGCAGAGGGCAAGTCCAGAACCTGGGGAGAAGGGCAGGGGTAAGACCCTCCGTGAAGCCGTTGGCTGGGAAGCCATGGGCTGTCGGGAGGGAAAGTAGGGCCAGGTGCAAGCAGCCTCCATCAGTCTTGTGTCCTGACTCTTGAGTACCCAACCCCCACATTCAATAAAGGACTGGGAGGAAGTCAGAAAAAGGAAGAAGTCATGCCATGGGAAGATGATGAGGATGCGTGTTCCTTCTCCCTCTTTCCTACCTGCAATGAAC